TGGTGCGGGTGGGCACTGGGCTGAGCCGATGGTACCGGTCCCGAGCATCCTGGGTGTCCCCGTGGTGTGCCAGGCTGTCCCCCACCGGCTCTGCCCATGCGCCTTGGGTGCTGGGCGCTAGCTGCCTGGGGGTGCAGTGCGCAGGGTGCTCTGAGCTGGCAGGGATGGACCCATTCCCTGCTGTTTTGGGCAGCTGGGGTGAGCTGAGAAGGCATCTATTGATGAACCTCTGCTCCATTCTAAGAGCAGCAGAGCCCAGAGCAGCTGCAGCCTCCACTGAGGCTTGGCTGTGCTGGGACCAGAGAGAGGTGGAAGATTTGGGGAAGGTGCATGTACTGAGCGGGGAAGGTCTCTGCAGAGGTTGGTTATTCCAAGCCATGGGATTTTGGGTTGCCAGGCTGGGCTGGAGTCAAGAGGAGCAAGGGAAGGAGTTATATTTGTGTTGTCTTTAAAAAAGCCGGGAGGAGGGGGTAGGTGCGCGGGCTATAAATACCTCCGAGGTGGCAGTGCTAATGAAGGGAGGGAATTGTGAGCAGCCCCTCGGAGAGGAGAGCCAGCAGCAGCGGTGGCTCCGAGGACCCGGGGGAGGGACGTGGTTTTTAGGCTAGTGGGTGTTCTGAGGAGAGCCCTCTTAGAGGTGACTGCGGCCGAGTGCTGGAGCCAGCCTCTACAGGTGGGATGGCTTCGTGCTGTGACCCCTCTGAGCCTGGCCCAGCCACGTGCCCTGGGATCAACGCGTGGGAGCGTCGGGCACCGAAGCAAAGCATCTTCCTTTGGTGGAGATGTCGCCCTGGGGCTGCAGCTGGGCTCCAGCTGCGCTTTTGAACCTTCCTGGGGTACAGCGGCTGGTCCCTTCTTTTTGGGGCACTCCGATGAGCATCTGGGAGTGGGGCTGGGCTCCAGAGGGATGCTTGAGGCTCCCTGCCTGTGCCTGGCAGCAGCTCGGGGCTCTCAAGCCCTCGCTGCCCACTTGGCCTCCCAGAGCCCCCGGCTCCGTGTGCAGGATGCTGCTTTTGGGTAGGAGGTGACCCCAGCCCTCCGGTCCCCCAGCCCCACCGCGGTGACATCTCCACTCTGGTCCCTGCAAGCGGGGACCACCAGATGGGAGAGGACACCTGGGCAGCGGGAAATGAGGGATGGTGAAGGGGGAGAGCAAGGGGTGATGGAAGGGAGCGGAGCAAGCAAGGGAGCAGAGTGTGGGGAGAAAGCAAGGTCTGAGCCTTGCTGAGGTTTATTAAAGTTTAACAGAAAAGAAACCCTGGTTTGCGTGGAGGGGACCAGCTATTTTTAGCCGTGGGTAGGATGTCAGCTCTGAAAATAGCCTGCTACCAGATCCTAATGAAATCCTCTCTCTTTGGCTCTCACCCGGAGCGAGTTTGGAGGGGGAGGATCGCTGTCACACCCGCAGCCGAGGAGCTCCTGACATTCACAATGACTCGCCTTATTTTTTATTTTTTTTTTTCCTTCCCCCTCCAGTTTCTCCTATTCTTTGCCGGCTCTGCCTTTACGCCGAGCAGAGGAGTCACCAGCCAAAAAAGTGAATGCGGGGGTGGTGCTGCTTAGCTACGGCCAAATCCCAGGCAACATGTGACCAGATTGGCAATTTAATACCAAGCCTTTCTCCCCTGCACACGCGTGCGCTCAAGTTAAAGTGACATTGAAACGGGAACTCAAAGTGCTGAAAGCAAAGAAACTGGGGGGAGCTGCCTCCCTCCCCACCTGCCGCTTCCATCCCTGGGGAACGAGTTTTGCTCAGCGGGGTGTGAGAGGGCTTGGTCTGGAGCGGGAAGGGTGGTACCCAGGCGAGGGAGGATGCTCGGGTCAGGTACCTGGGCTTGGAGGGGAACAAAATGTGGAAGATCTGCTGGAGGCTGCATGGACCAGCTGGTCTGCTGAAAGCTGAGCGCACCCAAGGCATCTGCAGGAGGGGTACCTGATATGTGTGGTGGAGCTCAGTCCAGGAGCTCTGGAAAGCCTGAAGAGGACCTGAAACAGTGGGTGCTGGCTGCTCCTAGAAAAGATCAGGGTGGTGGAGAAGCATCACAGGGAGCGTGGGGCACAGAAGCCAGGGAGAGAGATGACCCTGAGGGCTTGGGGACAGAAGAGACAGTCGTGGGAGCATCACATCCCCGTCAAGTTAGGGGTTGAAGGTGCCACACAGACACAGGTTGGATGAAGAGCATGTGTCCTGCGGATGCGGGGTCAGGCCCAGCAAGAGAGACTGGTGCTCTATGGGCTTTCTGGGGACGTTCAGGGTCCGGAGGGTGCAAACCCTTTGGTACTTGATTCCCCAGCGGGTATAGCAATGGGTTTTGGGTGGGGAAATATACATCACCCCCCCCCACAGACCTCAAGCTTTGGCTTACCAAAGACAGCCTGTTCCTAATGGGAACGAGAAGCCTTCAGCTCTGCGCCCTTCGTCTGCTGAAGGAAGGACCCGACGCAGCCAGCTGGCTGATACAGTGTGAGGGATCCAGCTCCAGAGCTGGCTGCCTGTACCACAGGCAGAATGTGTGCCCAGGCATCTGCCAGTCCTTCCAGGGAGCTGGAAGATGGAGTTAACAATTTCCCAGCGAGGAAACGCTTGTATTGACAGCCCCCCCCCCAATATCTCTATAACCAATGCACTCTATGGCTTTGCCCACCTGGCTCAGGTTCCCGAGGAGCTCAGGGTTGGGGTCTCTGTGTTGCACACTTGGAGCCACACTGGCTGCTTGAGTCACGTCTTTGCTCTGGTTTCTCTGCTGGGAGGGTGATGTGGATTTGGGTAGGGGACCTCGTGGGGACAAACATGGAAGCACAAGGAGCCCATCGATGCACTGGCACATCCTGAGCTTTGCCCAAGACTTGGCGCTCGCTATATGCAGTGGGACACGGGGGAAAAAAACCCCCAAACATCTGCTCTTATGTTCACCCTCCAGCTGGGTTCACATGCCAGGGTACCAGCTCAGCCCAGGCGCTGCCTCGCTCAGCCCCTGCGCTGGATGCTCTCCCCCGAGACGGCACCTCCTGCCTCTCCGCCGGCGGCGTGGGGATGGAGCCATCTGCATCAATGAGTCAGCAGGACCCACTTAACACTTCTCCAGCAGGATCTACCCCTCCTGACAGAATGGGCAGCTTCTGGCAAGCTCCGTCAGCGTGTTACAATCTCAGCTCATTAAAGGGACGCATCCTGAGCTCTTTATTGATGTTTTATGCTGCCTGGCTCCATCTTCAGAGAAAAACTCACATTGCAGTCAATGACTACACCTCCGCGGTGCTGCAGGCTGAGTAAGGAGCTCAGGATCTGGCTCGCATGGCGGGTCGGGCTCAGCTCTGATTGCTACGAAGCTGCATCGCTGCAAACGGTGGGGGGGGGTTTACACCAAAATGGCCAAGCGATGTCTCGGGGCCGGGATCCCTGTAGGGTGTTTTCTTTCGGGGGACTAGGGAAGGTTCAAAAGGAAAATGCAAGGAAGGGGTTGCTATTTTTTTTTTTTTTTTGCTTGCTTATCCCTCTTTGCTGGGCAAAGGAACTGCGTGATGGGGAAGGGAGACGATGTTTTCTTTCCCTCAGCACTGCCGTCTGTTCAGCTTGAGCCTGGTGGGGTGGATGTACCTGGCCTCCTCCTTAGCAAAGCATGTGTTGGGAGCCACGTGTCCCTCCACCTTAGGAGAATCGCAGTCTTTTAATAAGTTCCCCAGCGCTTGCTGTTGCTTCTGAAAAGCTAGTGGCACTGTCTGGCTTCAAGTGGCTTTTACATAATACAGACTGTCAGGCTAGATGAACATCACGGTCCCTTCTGGCCCTAAAATCTGTGAATCTAAAAATTAGAGGGCACCAGCACCTCATTGTTTCTGGCTGATTTAATCAGGAGATTCGCATGTTCTCTTTATCCTCTCCTTTTTTTTCCTCCCCCCGCCCCCCCACATCATCTTTAACTGCAGATGAATTTGCCCTCCCCCTGTGCCCAAGCTTGTCTAATAGTATCAGAAGAGATCAGACATCTTCAGCCTTGCTCTGGGATATTCTCCTCTCCGCTGCCCACTTCTGGACTGATCCACAGCGGTTAATTGTTCAGCTGTCTGCACAGGCAGGACCAGAGGTGGTCAGGCTTGAGGGCGGCTGGACAACGTGCCTAGAAAACAGTGCTGAGCTCTCCTGGTTGTTTTAAAATTGCAACTAAGTTCTCCAGGCTCCAAATGTAGCTCTTTTGGTTTTGTGAATATGCGTGTGTATCTAGAGAAACAGGTTTTGAGGAGGGGAAGGCAGGTGAGTGACTCCCCACCTTTTTTGTGGTGCTGGGGATGTGCAGGGGGAATGGAAAGAGGAAAGCAGGGAGGAATTGCTGGTGACCTGCGGGGATTGCCAGGGATGAGGGTTCCCCCAAGGCAGAGATCCGCAACAGGCGCTGAGGACTTACCGAGCGGGCTCGGCTGGAGTTGGGAACACGGGGATGCGCTGCTGCCATCTCACTGCCCGTATCTGGGCGCTATCAGCTGTCCCAGGCAGGAGATGTGCTGACAGCCTCTAAAATAAGGGCAGAGAATGGGACTCCTGGGAGCTGCTTCTCTCCCCGTCCCTTTGGACAGGATCCCAGGGGCGTTCGAGGGTTTAAAAGGTGGCAGATTCAAACTGGGAGGAGGAGTGAAACCGATTCAAAAGACCAGTTAAGAGGAGCTGGGATCAGTTGCAGGTAGTGGCTGCGAAGGTGCATGGGGCACAGCCCGAGCTGTCACAGCGCTGCGGGAGGGATGTTAAACCCTCCGTTCAGGGGCAGCCGCTCGCTCCCGCAGACCCTGCTCCAGGACAGATTGTCAGAAATCTAACGGAGTTTCACACCTTCCTCTGACACGGCTCATATCATGGCTGTGCACCGTCAGGGGACCACATCCCCCTTCCAACAGCCAAAAACCTGCCGGATGCTCTGTCCCAGACCCTTCCTTTGGGAGCGGCTCTAAACTTTTCTGCTTTGCAAATGCATTCGGGTTCCCAGCCCTCCTCTTCAGAGATGCTGCGGTCAATAACTCACCAGGAGGCTGCTATTCTCCCTCCGCTTCCCACCCTCCCACTTGTCTCGGTATCTCTGCATTCATGCCTTTTTGGCCCTCCCTCGGCAGCGGGTGAGGAATAAAGCAGCGCTGGCTGAGCACGACGCAGGCTGCGCTAGGGATGCTGTGAGCCAGCGGAGGGAAGCCTGAATCACCGGCACCTCAAGGTGGGAGTGATAGATTTGGGCTGGGAGAAAGGGAGGACATCACACGTGCTTTTAGGAGTCAGGTGCTCGCAGCCAGCTGGCAGTTGCTGGGAACCGGGCAACTGGGTTCCTTTCTGTGCCTTTAAAGACGGAGCTGAGAGCGATGGGGAGAAGAGGAGGGGCTCGTGGGAGCGCAGAGAGATGCAGCGTTAAGGCTCTGAGCTGTAGCCCAGGCTGAGGAATGCTGTCAGGGACTCGTTCCTCTTGGAGAAACTCCTGGAGGAGCATCTCTGGTGGGATCCTGTGGAGATGGAGAAACCCTTAGCCTAGAAATGCCTAAAAATGAGCCTGGAAAGGCTCAGCTGAGTACCACGCAGGGAGAGTAGAGCCTCTGGCCCGTGCTGGGGAGGACTCCAGTGCTTCTGCTGGCATCAGCTGGGAGGGAGCCACTGAGGTCAGTGGGATCAGCCTGGTTTATACCCATCTGTTAGAGCAAAAAGCGGCAGAGCTGGTTCTGTCACCCTTATTCAGGCTCCTTCTCTTCCCATTCCAACTCCCCCCCCCACTCTCACACCTCCAGACCCTGTGCTGCCCATCGGCAGCGAACACCGACAACGCGTGGCTGAGCCTCGGGCAGCTCCCTGTCCTGGGGGAGCGGGTTCCCGTGCTGCTAGGGACTTGGCTGGGATGGTTGAGGGCTTGATGGCTTCAGCTTCACTTCCTGGAGACAGGTTCTCAGCCTTCCCTCAGCTGGTAACGTTGCTTTGCTCATCCGGTGAATGCTACCAGAAAGGATGGGTGACCAACCCGGAAGCGTTGAGAGGAATAAAGTGAGGGTGGGAGCTCCGGTGGGGTCCACAACCAATGTCCAGTGTCATCAAGGAGAGGCCTCTGTCCTTGGGGCTGTCAAACCAGGTCCAATTTATTTATAAATGGGGCCGAGGGGTATCGCAAGGATCCTTGGTGCCCCTGAGCAGCGGTGGTTGCCTTTGAGAAAGCAGCACAAGGAGGGAGCGCGCAGCGAGTCAGGGACGTGTCTGGGACGGAAGGTCCAGGTCCTGTTTGGAGCCTGAGTCCGAGGTTTTTGTTTCTGGGAGAACGGGATGTGCATGGGCTCGTTCTGTGGGTCTCGGGAGGGAAAAGCCCCTTTCCAGCCTCTCTGCCCTGAGCTTCTATGACAGAGCTAATTCGGGTATTAGTTTAGACTCTGTGGTAGTATCGGGGGTGGACGGCAGCCGGGCTCTCGCGGGTGCCTCCCGGGGTGCCCGGGAAGCGGCGAGACGGGTGCGTGCGAGGGGGAAGGTGGCTGCGCCCCCTTCGCCGCCGTTCACAGACCCAGCCATTCACCCGAGGTGACGGGGCCCGGGAGCCGACGCGGGCCCTTTGCGGCCAGACCCGCTCCGCTCCCCGCGCGTCGTGCCCGGGCCGTGGGACCGAACCGAGCCC